AGGGATCGCATCAGACAGCAGATTTGCTTGCATGCACACAGATGTATATGCATTGCTTTTACACACACACTATGTGTAAAAGGCAGAATTAAGGGAAATCTAGTTTGTCATTAGCAATGTTTTTTCGGGGTCATTGTTTATGGGGTTCTAGCAAGTAGCAAGATATTTTCAAACTATGTCCTTAAGCTGCTGGGTTTTCACTTTAGATGAGATGACTCCTGCAACAAGTAAAGGTTAAAAAATGTGGATGTTGTAACATAATTCTACAATGTCCTAATTCAGTTTATTTTGAATTCAGTTTAACAATAATAACTTTTTTGTACCTTGATACTGATACTGATATTTTGGGAATGAATAATAGTGTTCCAAAATCTGCAAACGTTGCAGGTAGAACAGTCAGATTAGTTCAGAAAAACAATCATTACAGTATCACAGCCTTAAACATGGGAAAACATTTAAGCTGTATTACAGTGTCCTCATGACAAAAATTCCAAATAATTTCTATATATTGATATACTATCCATCTGTAATGCTATTTCATTTGTTTTACAAAATGTAGATAAAAAGCTAAAGAATGTCACCCTGGAACCACAAGTGAAGTTACTGTGACAGATGCTTTTCATTTATTTAACAAAATAATATATTTCCATGATAAATACTACATTAAATAATTACTTTTTTTTTTTTGCCAATTACCGACTAGCTTTGTTGAATAAAAATCTCATTTCAGTTTTTAAAGGTGTGCTAAAGTGCAACACGCAACAAAGACCTTCCTTTTCTGGTGACAGAATTTATTTGCATTTCTTCAGCTACAGTAACTCAGCAAGGGGTTGTCTGTCCTCTGACCTCACAAGCTGCATTGCCTGTTGAACCATAATTGCTTGCATACCATATTACAGCCTACTTCTTGACTTTGCGTTTGCATCCTCTGGCACCCTTGCTGCATATATCCTTTAGTGACTTCACCCGTTTGTACAGTGTGGTTTTATAATAGAGGACTGTTCAGTGCAGCATTATGGAGGTGATGCTGGGTCTCCTGTTGTTACCCAGGTTAGCTACCTCTGACCCCCCGCTACCTCTACGTCTTTGTTTCACGGCTGACAGAAGGAGTGCCAGAGCTCCTCTAGCTCGGGTGATTTATGACCAACAGCTGCTCTTGCAGCCCATGACCCACACAGCTGGGTGTCAGATGTGGTCTCCCTGTAAGCAGAAACTTATCTGGCAACCCAACATCAGTCGAAGGCTGGACAGGGAGGGGTAGGGGTAAAGAGGAGACCTAGTGGGAGAAAGATGGAGTGGCAAGATGGATTGTAGAGGGAAAAAAAACAAGGAATGAGAGGAAGCAGATGAGAGCACAAGTTAGCAAGACAGGTTAAATAGAGCTAAAGAAAAATTAAGATTAAACTGCACAGATAAAGCTTGAAAGGTGTCCTGAAAAAAGTGCGACATGTGGTTCATGACAATTGATTTGAATGCACCAGCTAAGCTCTGCATTGATTTCTGCTGGTGTGGAGAAAGCAAAATGTTTGTATTATTTCATAAGCCAATTAGCTGCAAGGAGACTCCTCTCCCTGTGAGCCTATTGACCCACAGTCTGTGGCTTCAGCTTTATTGTCTGGGGGACGCTGTATAAAAGATCAATAACAGGCGAGTGATTGGATTATGGACTAATCAATGCATTGTACTAATATATCACGAGTGATTACAGAACACTGGCTAATAGGAGGCCTTAGAGAGCTGTAATGACATCACACTCTTGCGGGCGGTCAGGAGAAAAGTGTGTCTTAAATGAAGTGTCGTGTGGATGAAATTATGCATGTGTGCAGGTGCTTTTCACATATGTACATATCACTGGGTGTTTATGTGTGTGTGTATGAGTGCGGGGGGTAGTGTGGGGGTAGATGATGGGTTGATTTTCTTGATTCTTCAAACAGCCGAAGAATAGTACTACCAGATGGTGCGTGATAGCTTGCTTAGAAGAGGCCATCATCAGATTCCTGCTGTAACATAGTGACAGGGCTCCATTGTGATTGGGTTCACTGCAACAACATATGTGGAAACTGCAAGAATAATGGCTGTGAAAAATAACACTGTTCATAACTTCAGCAATCTTATTTCTTAATGGTGTTTTTATGTATGTGCCATATTGTCAAAATAAATCAAATTAGGGATGTGTGATAAATGCGGCTATTAGGAGATTGTTTTTTGTGAGATGAATATAGAAACAATTTCCTCTCAATATTTGTAGAGGAAAATTGCCTCCAGATGTTTCACAACACCAACAATTCAGATGATTGTTTATGATTATCAAGTTTTCTAGAGAGAGCTAGCAACATCAACTACTCTCAATAGTGTTTCTTTTTCTTATGTGCCATGAATCAACTTAGTCATAGTTTCTGTCATTTCAAACTGTGGATATTTCTTTTTTGAAAACAATTTTGCCGCTGTCCTGTGAAAACCACGTATCTCCAAAACATCAATTTTCATTAGCTAAGAAGAAAGCTTTGTTTTCAGCTTGGCAACACAGTTTTTTTTAGCCAATCCAGTTTGTTTTTTTAATTGTTTATCTTGGAATAAAAAATAGGACAGTTTTTCATAACCTATAAAGCAACACTTGATCTGTCAATTTTTCTTTGGAGAGTGACAATTACATTTGTTTTGTTATCCCCAAATATGTGACCACAATTTGAGAGTTCATGAAGGAAGAAGCAAGAAACAGCCAGCTTGTGAAGTTGTCCATTGTCTGCTCGACTGAGAGGAGAAACGTGACTGGCAGGCTAATCTTGTTAGACACTTACCACAAGAATGCCAGAAAGTAATGCTGTTATGATAATGATGAACCTTTTCACAACTAATTATCTGTGTTTATCAACACGTGTCAGGCCATTTAAGTTAATTGAGTGAGTGATGGCCACCAACCTCATCACTGCCTTTCATTATTTCTTTGATTTGCCAAGTGTTTAAAAGCTCAAGTCTCAGTGATATCAATAGCGTGATATACATGCAGTCAGTTACCACATACTGATGATGTGTAAGGAAGTACACCTTGCTTTTCTCCAGTTCTTCATCTACCATTTTCCCCCCTAAAGACACGCCCAAGTCAAATGGGATGTGGTTTAACACCGTAATTCCTTTCTAAGGTGTCTTTGTTTGGTTTCTTCTTAGCTGCTTTGTCCTGTGTCTCTTGCTCAAATACAAGGCGAGCGACATCATCTGGTCCTGGAGACTTGCACAGGGGAGCTTTAGTAAAGTTCCTGTTTGCTCAAGAGTTTAGGAGGCTTTTATGTGACAAATTGTAAAAGCTATTACAGGATATAATGAGAAGAGACTTTAAATGGTGGATGTAAGCTATATGTTGTTTTTTTCAAGAGGTTCAAGTAAAACTTGGCGGAAAATAAGAGTTGCTCACATTGCACCATTGGCTCTTTTATTTATTCTTTTTTTTATTATTTAGTTTATTTAGGGGAATCAAATGTGATTGATTTATTATACATGTTGATGTATTTTAAATATTGCATTTAGAATAATAATAATATTATTATAATAGTAATAATACCTTATTAGTATTGTAATACCAAACTTTTTTATTTAAAAATTTTGTAAAATGGTAGCTATTTCTTTGATGAAATGGCTTTCCTCTATGTGACATCAGATGTATAAGTTATCTGTATCTATATGTTAAACCCCGTCTTCTTTCACATGACATGCACAGCCAGGAGCTTTGATGCCTGTTTCTCACCACTGTCAGTTTCCTGGCTGTTTAAGTGTCCGTTTAAAAGCTGCTCCGTCCCAGAGGGCTTGTCTTTTACCCGTCAGCCCTGTCGAAAGCACTAATCACCGCACAAAGCTGAGGGAGCGCGCCATGCGCTTGTTAGCCCTCGTCCCAATCTTCTTTCCCCCTTTGACATCCGCACGGGCACTTAATTCCCCCCTATTATGTTCTTATGTTTCTATAGCCTCCTAATGAGACAAGAAAGGGGAGTATCAGGTTGTGTCCATTGATGCGACGGGCCCGGCGTGTGTTGAATGCGTGTGAATGCATGTGCCGATGCTCTGAGCCATCTGCCCATCACAGGAACATGGCGTGTAATAACGGAATCATGACCGTGGAGATCAGGGCCCCGGCAGGGAGCCTTGTATTCATGGAGCTTTAAAGGCAGCCATCCAACACTGCTCAGACACGCCCAGCTCGTACCCCCCTCACCACTTCTTTATGTGCACCCCAAACCCCCACGTACCCCCCGAATCCATCCTTCCAGCAGCATGGGCCTCAGACTCCATGTTGCCAGGGGTGACGTAGCCACCAGGGTCAGAGGTGCTTGTTGGAGGTAAGGTTCAGACTGCGGGCCCATCTGATAGGACCATCTGGACGAGTGACCTGACATAATTAGTTATTAATTCTTCTGGGGGGGGGCCTGGGGATGGGGTTACACACAGCTAATGCTCGTACTCATACTGCTGCTGTTAGCACCAGGCCACAGATGTAACTTTTGTTCTGTACTGTTAGAGAGAAATTATAAGCGTAAAAATCCAACACCCAGCTACTCCTAAAATTTGCTTTAAACATAAAATGCGCCATCAGCCAACTTGCTTGCTGAGGGATCTCGCATTCCTGTTTCAGTTAAGTAGTTCGCAGACGTAACACTGTCATTGTAGCACATAAATGGCCCAACTTTAACAACATGACATCACAGTGAGATAGTTAAATGCAGCTAAAATCGTGTTTACTGCGGAAGATGGCTCAGTCCACAATAGACAGCAGGGTTTGGTTTCAGTTTCTCACAGTTAGAGAAAATCATTCTTTCCAGTAAGCAGTTCAAAGATTAAACAATCACAGAGGAAATATTCCTCAGCTGCAGAATCGGATGAGGGAGAGCAGAATGCAATTTATATTTTGCAATATTTTTAGTAAGGGCTGCTTTGATCTGCTTTTGTTTGAATGCACACTGTAAAAACTCTTTCTGTACATTCTCTCTTGCCGTCATTGTTGCCAACTACAGGAAGCCAAAAGCTGGAAGATGAGGCCCTTTTTGAAGCAGTTGTCAAGAGGCTTTTTGGAACATTGGGAAATATGCAAGTGAAGATAAGTGAAGTTGATAAGGTAAGGTGGATACAAAGCAAATTACAACTGAACACAAATCTCTTAACCCATTTAAAAAACAACTGAACAGATTGGTGATAATATTGGCTAATAACATAAGATTATTTTAGATTTTTCCTTTTAATGAGAAAAGCAAAACTGGTACTGAAATAATCAGATCATTTGGATTATTGGTGTTTTGCAGAGGTAATTATCACCAGCATGTTTACATTAGCTTGGATATGATAATTTCAATGCTTTGCTTCAAAATTCCGTCTGGTGTTCAGCATTTTGTGAGGAGTGTGTAATATGACTATCAAGGACTATAGTGGTACAGTGTCAGCACTGGCCCCTCCCGTTGCTCTGCTCTGCTCTGCTCCGCTGCTGCTGCTGCTGCTGCTGCTGCTGCTGTTGTTGCTGCTGCTGCAGGGGAATCTCCTCATTGGCATGCAGGCGGTGACTTGGAGCTGTGGAGCACCGGCACCCTCTCTCTAGGGACTTGCTCCTCGCTCTTTCCTTTCTCCTTCTTTCTCCTTGTCTGTCTCCTGCACTCTCCCTCTTGCCCCCCTCACGCAGCTGTCACAATATCTGCTTGTACGAGTGCTAGAGGGATCGTAGGGGTAGAAGAGGCTCGACTGATGTGCCACTTTAGAAGCAGAAGATTTCAAATAGAACGGCTGAAAGGCCTCTCATGAGAGGTGCTGAATCAATCTTAAGATTTGTGGACGATCTGTAGTACGCAGGTAGTGTGGTTGTCAATGCACAAGGGGATTATTCTTGCAGCTCCACAGGAAATCATTTAATAAAGACATATTTCCAAAGGACTTATTGTGCTTATATATCTCCCTAACGAAATTACTAAAAACAACATAAATTGTGTGACATGCAAAATAACAGTATCAGAATTCACTCTGGTCTGATCTTGGCAGGTTGCTGAGGTGTTTACAGTAAAAGGGACTGAGATGCAAACAAACAAACACAACTCCTTGGCATGAGTTGAAGAGCGTGTCGCAGAGATGCTGGAACGAACAATGGCAGATGAGAGGAGGGACGGAGAGAGCGAGGGAGAGAGAGGAGACATGGATCCTGTGTGGCTCTGTGGATTTGGCAGGAGTGAAAGCAGTGAGAAGAGCGCTGATACCAACCAGGCTCAAGCTGTGGGCAAATCAAGCATGAAATCAGGAACAAAGGGATTCACAGGATTTGAGGGCATTAGATTCACACTGTCTGAGCTGTGTGTGTGTGTGTGTGTGTGAGAGAGAGAGAGAGAGAGAGAGACAGGGGATCAGGATGTTGCACTTGTAGTCTTTCTTTAATAGCCTTATTGCTGAGGGATTAGTGAGTTTTAAATTAAGGTGGTTTTGTTACGGTTTTGTAAAAATAATCATGCTTTAGGAATGATTTTGAAAAAACAATCTAAAACAAAACAGAATTCCTATTAAAGGGAGTAACATCCCAACAAAATTAATTAGAAATTACTGTAATTCTAGTTTCGAGTTTGTGGGCTTCGTGGTTTTAATACTTCCAGGAATAGCGGATGTCCTGGGAACCCCCAGATGCTGCAGATTCATCTAGTCCAATCCTTTTACTAACATTTAAAGTCAGTCATCATACTTAAGGGAGATAACCATCTATCTTTTGCTGAAACATCCACTGTAGGAAAAATGTGGGGCCACCAGTTGTTTTATATTTTTGAGAATAATGGAACAATGGAGTTGGCGACTTTAAACTTTCAGTTCATTAGATAACAGAAAATAGGTAATGAATTGTCTGAATACTTAAAGGGACAAAATACAGTTTGACTACAAGATTATAAACCCTGACATTATTGTATACCACTTAAAAAAATGTTTGTAATGTTACTTAAGTCCAGTGAACAATGATCATATAATGAGTCATAGACTTACTATTGTCTAAAACCCATCGGTGAACAACACTAGGTGACGTGTTCTTTCAATAAAATGAACCTGGGCACAGTAGGTAATTATAGGTACTCGCTAGCACACCAAATCTGAAGCTGAAAATAGTCCTCAACAAATGTGCTATTATGCTGGTTTGAGGAACATTCTAAAGATTATAAAGTACATGAATTACTTTTTTAAAAAAGGTTTATGCAGATTTACATTTTGTAGGAACGAATGGGCTTGGACCTTAATGCCACGGACAGACTTAGGATGTCAGAAAGTATTGAGAGACGGACTGACGCATTGTTGGTTTTTGGTATTTTCATGGGAATTGTTAAAAGAACAATATATAATTTTGCCATCTGGATCCTTCAAGTATAAACCTTTTAATCAATGTTATATTCCAGCTGAAGAAATTCTGAAAAGAAAGAACAGAGATTAGAGAAAGAGTAAAGAGATTATGTTATCATTTTTGAAAGTGCAGTACTAATTTTCAAACTGTTTGAAATTGGCAGCATATTTTCCAAGCAGCATTCCCAACTGAGGTGCTGTGACACAAAGAGCAACCCTATTTCCTCTCCACTTTGCAGAATGACTTCAGTCTCCCGGCTCAGCCAATCAGATCGACCGGATGACCTCAATATCCTGGTCCACCCGATCAGAACATCTAAATGTGCTCTGGTGTGATGAGGTCTGCCATGGAGGTGTCACTAAATGCCCTGGTTGAATGATTTTCCCAGGTCCTGTGCTGTTTTGCCAATGGCTGACTCATTTGCAGGTGACTCACCGGCAGAAGTGCGTGATTTTATTGGCTGCATGGGAAATGTTTTGATGTAACAGTAGAATGTTTGCGTGGTTTCCCACTCTGCAGCTGAGGCAAGATATCTAGATGCTGCAATATCTACACTTTAAAAAGAAAAAGATGTCAGGGAAAGAGAGGAATTTAGCAATTACAAAATTCACACTCCAAGAGGTCATAAAATACACACGAACACAAAACATGTTGAAACATTTTCCTCTGCGCTTGTCCAAAGCTGCTTCATTCAGATTATTCTTCACTAAGCGCCAGGTTGAATTATGGAGGCACTACTGGGGGAACACTTTAATTGATGTATGAATATGCAATTGTGCCTCAATCCTGGGCCTGAAATCAATCAAGTAGACATTCAGAGGCTATTCTGAGCCGTGCCACCTGCACCTCATATTCTGTGGTTGTTTGTGAGGTTAGAATCCATTTCTCCTTAACTGCAGTTCTGAAACCCTGTGGCTCCATATTTTACCTCAACGTCGAGCCAACCACACGGCGCCATCTTTATCTCCTCTAACTGCTAATGCCGTATGGTGTAAACAAAGCTGATTCACTCGTGCTTTTTTATTTGCAGTAGCATAGTAGTTAAATTAACTGCAAATGTTTTCATTTTGTAGCACTGTGGTTCATTATGAGGGGTTCCTTCCTTAGAGTAAGGAAATAATTAACATAACACATCTGTTCTTGCAATGACATCATATGATCCTTTGTTTTATTGCTGATTGATTTTATTCTGGTCCTAACATCTGTTATTCTCCTGTAACTTCTTAAATCACTCCTAAAAATTTTAAAGATGACTTGCTTGTAGTTTGAGAAAGGTCTTTCTTGTTAATGTGTTAACTCTGCAAACTCCCTGATTTTAGACAGTGATGGAAAGTAACTAAGTATTGTACATGAATAAAGTTGTGAAGTACTTTAATTGCCATTCCACGATACTTTTAACAACAGCTTTTACTTAAATACATCTCAGTATTTTTACTCAACCATATATGTCTGACAGCTATAGTTACTACATTTTTTACAACATGGCAACCCAAATTATATGTATATATAATTTGAGAATTATTTATTAATCATTGATAAAACCATCAATTACCATGCCTTTGTAAAGGGTACCTTAGCAGAGAGTGATACAAATTTTGCATACAAAATATATCAATTTATAAAATATGGTTATTTATTATAGATTAAACAAACCAACACTATATAAAGTAGATTTAATTAGCTCCATCTTGACCAGCTACTGCACTGAAACACAGTCTACAATTTCATCAATTGAGTAGTTTTACTTTTGACACTTAAAGTACTATATATTTTACTGATGATACTTTCAAGTCAAAAATGGACATGTTAATATATTTATAAAATACAAAGTGAGTGAACAGAATATTTGATGTGACCACTCTTTGCCTTCAAAAAACATAAATTCTTCTAGGTACACTTGCACAAACTCAGGGATTTTGTAGACAAATCATTAGGTTATGATTAAACAATTATGCCAAACAGGTGCTAATGATCACCAATTCAATATGAAGACCGAAACACAATCAATAACTGAAACAGAAACAGCTGTGCAGGAGGAATACAACACAGCCACACTCAGCTAAAAAAGGTGAGGCTGCTGAAGACAGCTTACTGTTGAAAGTCATACAGACTTAACACAAGCACACAAAGTAGTTATACAGCATCAGCAGGGTCTCTCCAGGCAAAAGTTAAAGGCAGACAGGGGTTTCCAGATTTGCTGTCCAAGCTCTTTTGAAGAATCACAAAGATACGGGCAGCGCTGAGGACTGTAGACGCAGTGGTCGACAGCAGATGAAAGATACATCATGCTTACTTCCCTTTGCACTTGGAAGATATCCAGCTGTGCCATCAGCTCAGAACTACAGAAAAGGTGGGACCCTGGTACACCCATCTACTGTCCAGAGAAGTGTCATCAGAAGTGGCCTTGAAGGAAGACTTGCGACCAAAAAGCCATGCCTCTGACATGGAAACAAGGCAAGCAACTCAACTATGCATAGAAACACAGTAACTGGGGTGCAGAGAAATGGCAGCAGGTGCTCTGGACTGATGTGTCAAAATTTGAAATATTTGGCTGTTGCAGAAGGCAGTTTGTTTGCCAAAGGACTGGAGACAGTGAAGCATGGTGGAGGTTCCTTGCAAACAGGAGTTGGAGATTTGGTCATTATTGATGGTCTACTCAATGCTTAGAAGTACAAGCAGATACTTATTTATCAATGATTCAATACCATCAAGGAGGCATCTGATTGGCCCCAAATGTATTCTGCAGCATGACAATGACCCCAAACATAACGGTGAAAGTCATTAAGAACTATCTTCAGCGTGAAGAAGAACAAGGAGTCCTACAAGTGGTGGGATGGTCCCCACAGAGCCCTGACCTCAACATCACAGAACCTGTCTGGGATGACATGAAGCAACTGAGACTGCCTAAATCCAAAAAACGACTATGTGCAAGTGTACCCAAAAAAATCTACACTGTTTTGAAGGCCAAGGGTGGTCACACCAAATATTGATTTGGATTAGATTTTTCTTCTGTTCACTCACTTTGTATTTTGTTAATAGATAATTATAATCTCGTTTTTTTCCACACCTGCTTAAAACCTTTGCACAATACTGTACTTTTACTTAAAACCCTTGCCAAACAAGTTCACACAATACTGATTAAGCCTATCACCCCAGGTAAATCTCTATGTATTCGCTGTATACCAGAGTTTTTAAATTAATAAGCACGTGTCGACAGGTAGTAGTTGTGTAATTACTCTCACTGTCAGAAGGGGGAGACAAAAGTTCTGCACTGCGTGTTTTAGTCATTTTCAATGTAGGACTTTCACTGTAATGGAGTATTTTTCATATTGTGCTATAGATACTTTTACTTAAGTACAGGATCTGAGTCCTCCCTCCACCTCTGCTATTCTTTATGATCAAAGCACCAAGAACAGTTCATTCTCCTCTTTTAGGCTCTGTTATCGCCTGTTTCTTTCTATAAGAGTAAGTTGGGGCAGAGAGGATCTTGGGTGGAAGGGTGGGGAGGTGTATGTAAGTATGCAAGGTCTGGGCAAAAGGCCCAGTGTTTGGCTGCATTTGTAGTCGACTCTACATGTGAAAGCCTTCAGGGCACATCAGGCAAAAGCCCCAGTGTTTAGAAGAAAAAAAAATACCTTGGTCTCTTATTATTGAAGTATTTCAGCAATAAACACACTCATTCACACACATGCACACACACCCTTCCTAAACCTCAGTGATGTCAACAGCCGAGCAGTGTAGTAGTTTTACCTCCTGGAATGACAGCAGCATTGATATCTGGCAGACCATCACATGGTCATGTCAGCAGTGACTGATTGGAGCTCTGCATCCATGCCCAGACTGTGTCCAGGTCCCTCTGAGCTCAGACAGCCAGGCAGGCAGGCCGGCCAGCTTTCCAGCTACATGTGAATAACTTACATATATTAAAATATATGGCAGAGAAAATACTTCTGAGTGGAGGTCAGAGCGGCTAAACATGCAAGTTCAACTGCTCCAAACAGCAGGAGCGTGCTGCTGGAACTGACAGCTCAGTAGGCATACTTGTAGTTTGCAATGATTTGTAAGAGGTTTTTGTACTAGATGTTTGTAATCATGCCCTCCTTTAATTCATTCATTGCCAGGTACATCTAAAAAGAATCCAAGAATGAGGCTATTCTATATTTTTAACTGTTGTCATGAATCCCATGAAAAGACCAAAACCACTTCTGCCAACAATTGCCTTTGTATACAAAGCCTCATATAGCTTATTTCTCTGTGCCATAGATCTCCATTTGCCCCAAAAACTATTAAAATGAGCCATGTCATTGCACTGGATCACATTTTGCTTCATCATGATGAACATGAAATAAAAATGAGTAAATCAGTTTGAGTCAATCCCAACATACACTGTTCCTGCTGCCATAAATACTCCAAACGTGTATAAATCCGCAACAGGAAATAGTCCCCAGCAAATACACTACATACTTGTAGTTGAGTAAAGTTTGCTGAAGACTGTAGTGCCCAGGAAAGTATGTAGAATGTGTATACATTTGTGACGCATTTTTAGAGATCTTTGCATTGTTTGTTTTGGTCTTTTCATTTATTCTTTAAGGTTTTAGACTTTTTTATAGTTTATTTTTTTACAAAATAATTCAAGATGAAACTCATAATAAAAAATAAAAAAAACTTTAAATATCGGCTCTATATTCATATATTTTTAGTCTATTTCTATATCATGTAATATATTTTGATGATAAATAGCTAAGTGTCTTGTTTGGCTTACACAGAAATAAAAACGAACTAATTAACTTATATGTAACTATATCTATGCATCTCAAAACGTGTTGTACAAAGTTGTCTCGATTGTACACAATGGATGAACAAAAGCTAAGTAAATCTACAGTATGTCTAAAATTGCAGTTAAAGAGTTTTTTTTCCTTAGGCAGCACCATATGTGTGTGTGTATTCATTCAAAGCAGTTTCGACAGATACAGGTTGTGTGACAAAAATCAACAGAGACAAAAGTTGTTTGTTTGCAACTGTATTCAGATTTAAGAGACTTTTTAAAACCAATTAATAAATAATCTTGTCACTTCTTGTCCAAAAGTTCATTGTGTGATGATATATACATCATAAATTAAATAAGAAACAAAAGACATTCATTATATTTTTCGATAGGTTTGTATCAATATTTTAACCGTTTAGGCTGTCATGACAAAACAAAAAAAGTATGGGTTTTCTTTGAGAAAAATTGCATGTGCAGCAGGATTTAAAAGCATACTCTACATATGCTTACAAATTGGGTAACGGTTAAGTAAGGTAAAAACAGGAAAAATTATACTCTGATATGTAAACGATAAAGTCTCAGTCACAACTTGATACATACAATGCCTATAATTAGAGGTCATGGGGAGATTGCCAATATGCATTGGTATTGTAACCTCTCTTTGCGCTCTAAGTGATGCCATTTCACATATACATTAAAACAGTCTCAAGTTGACCTGCATATTTTACACTTTTACATATCAGAAGCATTTTTTTCTTTCTGTTTTTTGAATTTTTTTTAATCTAATGTTGGTGTAATCCAAACACCAAAACTAATTTTATTCGACCAGTAAAGATTCTACTCGGACAGAAAAAATGACACATACAGAAAACGGTCCACTGACAAATAAATACCAGGAAACATTGACATCTTACAATAGTGAAACGCTTGCCTTTCTCATGTTGTTCTTCATGTGTCAAACATTATGCTCTGTGCGATGGAGTTTTCAGGTGAAGGGGCAATGGAACAACACATTTTCTTAATGCCTTTGGAAATCGGGTCTAGGACAGATTAACTCACATGGCCAATGGTGCGTGAGACGTTTGGAACAGAAACACTGGCTTGATGGTTAACCAGACTGAATACTTAGGTCGCCTTTGTAGGGAGGAAAATTCAGATCACCACCATTAAAATAACACTATATTCCTATGTAATGGAGCAAACCTTTTCCCTATGAAGTGGCACACCAAACGTCAATTCTTGAACACAGTTCATATTTTCCTCCGATGATAACGAAAAGACAAGAGTATGATACAAAGGCTGACAAACACAAATTGTGCTGAATTAGCCACCAAGGGCACATCAAGCTATTGGGAGGTACCTTTTTATTCTTTTTTTATTGTCCCGCCATTTGTTTCAAGCACCTGGTAAGTGTTTGCGTGTGCATAAAGCAACAACACCTTGCTGTAACATCCTCAGCTAGAGAACAGGACCTATCTGCACCAGATATCGTCAGCTCCCATTGGTTATGATAACTGAGGTGGCCTTGTGTCCCTGCATCTGCTCAGCCTGCATCCTCACATGGGATGCCACATCATACTGGACTCCTCCACAGGCCAGGCCCGAGTAAC